AGGCTGGGCAGGCGGCAGGGCTTGGCCATGCCCAGGGACCAGGAGCCTGGAATCCTCAGCTCAGCTGCCTCCCTGAGCCTCTGCCCCAGGGCAGTTGGGATGTGCCCCAGCCCCCCACCGAGAGAGGGCCGTCCCCTTGGCGGAGGCCGCCTTCTGCATCTCCTTCCTTCAAAGCCCCGGCCGGCCCCTGCGAAGATGACGCTTGCCTGGTCCCGCGTTCTGCTTTACGTTTCGCCTCCAAGTTCTCACAGCCAAGCTGTGCTTTCAAGGCCTCCTTTTTCATCTCCTAATTAATTTGTATCTGCCAAGACGAGGCGAGGACAACACGGGAGATGCCGCGTGTGATGTCTGCGGCTCCCCGACGGCTCTTCAAATGCAGTTTCCTTTGGAACTGCGGGAGCTGCCTCTGGCCAACATCGCTCCTGGGCCGTACGCATGGTGAGGGTGCAGGGGTCTGGAGCCCCTGGGGAGCCCCTGGTCCTGCCTCCTGCTGCTGTTGTCTTAGGACAGAATGGGCTCCCTCCCCCATGGTCTAGTCTCAGCCAGGGGGCTCTGGAAGACCCCCTTGCAGCCCTACCAGGAGCATGCCAGGCACAGAAGTCGGCAGGCCTGGCCCGCACCCTGGGACCTCCTGCGACACTACCTACCCGCTTCCTCGCCCCAGCAACGCCCTGTCATGTTTTAATGCCTTCCTTTAACTCAACGCCACAGCACCTGCTCAGCACATGGTAAGTGAGCAGCTATGGGTCCCAGGGCTGTGTTGGGCTGGGACCGCGGCTCCGTGGACTGTGGCTTCCCTCTCCCTCTGCTGATGCCTGAGGACTGAAACTGAGTCCTTAGAGAGGCAGTAGGGACAGAGTGACATGGAGCACAGGCGCTAGATCCAGATTGCTCTGGGTGTGGGGAGCTCAGCTCTGCATTGCACTAGCTGTGTGACATCAGGCACATTGGGTAGCCTCTCTGAGCCTTACTTTCACTGTGGTGCAACAGAGATAAGGAAAAGGATGCCTGCGAATCCAGGCCCAGGGCTTGTGTGGGGCCACGCCTGGTGCAGAGGAAGTGCTCCGCAAGTATCCCTTCTTTTGCTGACTTTGCACAAGTCTCTTGGACGTCCGTGGCTACTCCTGGAGCTGAGCCCAGCCTTGCTATAAACACTCACTGGCAGGAGAGAGGACCACCTGCCAGGAGAAGCGCCTGGGGTGGTGTGAGAGAGAGCGCTGTGCGTGGACAGAGTACCTGACTTGATCCCCGCTCCCCCGTGCGTCTGCTGTGCAGCTGGGGGCGAGTGAGCCCGCCCCTCCGGGCCTCCGTCCCCACCTCCAGCTCCAATTGTCAGATGTTCTGCAGGAGGCAAGGACCTGGCTGGGGGGAGGAGGGCGGGGGAGGACGTCGGCGCGTCCAGACCCCTGCTGGGTGGGTGCCCTGCTTCCCGCTCACCAGCTGAGGGGCCCAAGGGCTCCACGTTCAGGTTCCTGCCCGCCCACATCGCAGTTCCATCGCTGCTGCCAGCGAAAGGAGGCTCAGGCAAGGGGAGCCGCTGCTGAGCTAACACAGGCGACAGTGCGGGCAGACGGAAAGAGGAATTAATTAATGGGTCACCAGGAGACGAGAGTGGGGTGGGTCCTGCAGGGGGTGAGGAGGTGGCTGCTCCTGGCCCCGGGGCCCTGTCAGCATGGACCTTTGAGTCTCAGCGTCCTGGCTGGGTCCACGTCTGTGTCCCTCCCCTGCCCTCCTGGCTGCGCTGTTCGCAGGGAAGGTGGAGAGGGCGGAGTGGGCTGCGGGAGGTGCCGCTTGATGCGAGGACAGAGGCTCAGCGGGGAGCTGGAACCAGGCTCTTGGAAGCCAATCTGAGCATCTTAGCATGGAGGGAGGCGAGGGCATCCAATCAGCGGCAATGAGCCTGCACCGGACTTATTTATGCCTTTTCCCTTTGATCGGGAGCCCTGCTTAGAGACAGGCTCATGCGTAATGCATGAGAGATGCTCTGGTGCCGTCCAAGGGTTGGGCTGCAGCCTGGGGACAGGCATGCAAGTGCACACGTCTGCACACATACAGACGCATGTGCATGTCTCACACACACTCACACAGGCTACTATTACACACACACAGGGTATTACACACACAAATGCACACACAGGTCCTCACACACACACAGGGTATCAGACACACATATGCACTCATGGGTCCTCTCACACTCACAGAGGGCATTACACACACACGCACACATGCGTGCATGGGCTATTATACACACACAGGGTATTACAGACACACACATGCACTCAGATCCGCACACACACACAAGGTATTACACACACATATGTACTCATGGGTCCTCACACACAGAGGGTATTACACACACATACATGCACTCATGGATCCTCACACACACAGGGTATTACACACACACACATGCAAAGGCTGTTACACACTTGGGCCCACCCTCCCGTATATAAATGCTCACACAGGCCCTCACACACACACACACACACATAGAGGGTGTTACACACATATGATGCACATGCGTGCACAGGCTCTTATATATACAGTCATACATAGGGTATTACATACACATGTGTTCACATGGGCCCTTACCCATACACAGAGGGTGTTACACTCACATAGAAGCCATCACATACTTGCAGAGATCACACACACAACACATGCATGCAGGGGCCATCACAAACATATGCTAAGGCTGTTGCACACATGTGCATGCACAGGCCTTCTCCCACATACACACACACAAGGTATTACACACATACACAGGCTCAACTCGCTGTACTCTCTGCAGGTATACACACAGACACTCTGGCACACACGTGTACAGCCTCACAGGCACGTATCCACATGCCCAGGCCACAGACTTGATCAGATACACGCTCAACAGCACACACACACACATACACACACACTCATTCACATTCAAGCACAAGTTCATACGCACCCACACAGGTACTCCTGTGCATGGGCACCCATGGACACACAGGCATACACAACGGCACCTTACACATGGTATCTATGGCTACATACGAAGTCACGTGTGTAGACACATGCTCATATACTAGCACCCACAACATACACAGGGTCCTCTGAGCCCTCCCATGCCATTGGCAAGGCCCTGATGGTGCTCACTCCAAGTGCATAGCAGTGACCTCTCAGGCAAGCTGTGCTTGCCAGCTCCTGGCGGCAGCAGCACCACTCAGAAGGGGCCTCTTTCCTTTGTCTTCACTGGGTGGCTGCTTCCAATCTCAAGGCAGAACACTGGGGATTCTAGGGCCCGGGGAGAGTGCCAGGGCTCCCATGCTCAGGAGGCAGAGAGCTTTCCTGCCCAAGCTCTTCCTCTCTTGGCTCACTCCCCAGGGCAGGCACAGGCGCTTAGCTAGGAGACAAGGGATGGGGAATGGAGAACTGGGGCCCAGAGCAAGGGCACTACCCCCAGCTTCCAGACTGAGACCGAGAGCCATTGATTAATGAACAAATGCATGAATGGACCTGTGGCTGCGAAGGTCCCAAGTCCTGGTTATGTCTGAGAAGCAACTAGAGCAGGGCTTCTCCAAGTGTGACCCCTGGACTGGCAGCACCCACACTGCCGGGAACCTTAGGGAGATGCACATTCAGGGCTCCATCCCAGACCTCCTGCATCAGGCATCCCGAGGGTGGGGCCTGCAACCCACACCACAACACACCCTGCAGCTGATTCAAATGCACTCGCAAGCCCCAGCACCTCCACCCTAGAACACGGGCTCTGGGGGCAGGCAGACCTGGCTCAGCACCTGCATCCTCCAGTTGTGCGTCCTTGCACGGCTGCTTCACGGCTCAGACACTCAGAGTCCACGTGTGGAAAATGGGAATAACTTTAGGCTGCCCTGCACCAATTTGTCGTGCAGATCGAACGAGGCCGAGCATGTGGCAATAGCGTCTGGCCCACCCCGTGAGCTCTCTCCGGCGCTAGCTATTGTGATCGCTACTTTAATTTCTGGAAGGATGTTTAGAGCTTACTGGTTTCGGGGTCAGCTCAAGTCTCCGAAACCCTAGCTACTCCAGTAGGAAGTGAGCAACACTGGGGAACTGAGCCAACAGTGTAGAAAGCTGGAGGAGCGACAAGTCATAGCCGAACACTCCCAAGAGCAGCAGGCGACAGGGACTCCGTCTGTATACACCAGTGTCCCAAGAGGGAAGCAGGCTAAGTGATGTGTGTGTGTGGACACTTGTTCACATTTGAAGCTTCCTCCTTTCCTTCCAGGATGTGCTGCCCGCTCACTTGCAGGGAGTTCTTCCCAAACCCCGGGCCAGCTTCTTGGAGACAGATGGCACTAAAACCCAAAGCCAACAGCAGGTAGCCCGCCACCCCTAGCGCCTCTCTGTGTGGCTGGGCCCCTCCTCCTCCTTCCCCCTCTCTCCACCTGCCCTCCTCTGATGATGGCAGGAAATGTGATGCGTTCACATTGCCTGTCCCAGCTACAGAAACTCCCAGCATTTGCATGGAGATGCTTCCCCAAGGCCCATATCACCATAGCTCTCTCAATGTGATCGGTGCTGGGGCCAGTGCTGTGGCGTAGTAGGTAAAGCTGCCGTCTGCAGTGCTGGCATCCCATATGGGCGATGGCTCGTGTCCCGATTAAGCTCCCTACTAGGGCCTGGGAAAGCAGTGGAAGATGTCCCAAGTCCTAGGGCCCCTGCACTCACATGGGAGACCAGGAAGAAGCTCCTGGCTCCTGGCTTCAGATTGGTGCAGCTCCGGCCACTGCAGCCAACTGGGGAGTGAACCAGTAGATGGAAGACCTCTCTCTCTCTCTCTCTCTCTGCCTCTCCTTCTCTCTGTGTGTAACTCTGACTTTCAAATAAATAAATAAATATTTTTAAAAAATCGGATGGGTGCAAACAGGAGGGGCTGACTCCTGGGGGGTTGGGGTCCAATGGCTCTGTGCAGTGGGAGGGAATGGAGACAAAGGGTCAGTTCCAAGTGCTGCTGTGGGAGGGAGAGAGGGAGAGGGTCTCACCTTGAAGAAGGTCATGGTGGCCCCGTCCTTGACTGCCCCATACTCAATCTTGGTTTGCTTGGCCAGGTCGTCGGCAGAGTCAATGGGCGACTCCATGCGCTCCACGGTCAGAAAGGCAGCCAGGTTGGCCGTGTAGGAGGAGATGATGATGAGCGTGAAGAACCACCAGATGCCACCTATGATGCGCGTGGACAGAGCTTTGGGCATCAGTTCAGACCCTGGGAGGAGGCAGGAGACAGGTGGTCCCTTACGACATCCAGACCTGGGTCTTAGACTGCCGACACTCTAAGGAGAGCCCAGCTCCTTGCCAGCGTCACCATCACCCAGATGCTTGTTAGAACAGCACGTTCCTGGGCCCCGCTGGGTGTGCTGAGTCGGTGACTCGGGGAGGGGGCGGGGATGACCCTGCTGTCTGAGCTGACAAACCCTTTAGGTGCTTCTGCAGCAGGCTGAAATTTAAGAAGCCTGCTCTAGCACACCACACACACACACACACACACATTTCACAGGCTCGGCAGATCCATAGATGCCTATCCATGGACCACTTGGCTGGCGCCCGGTTAGCAACGCCTGGGAGCGGCTGTCCCTGAGGTCTTGAGTGAACCCTCACTCTATGTGCTCTTCTGCCAGAAGCTGCCCCTCCCTGGGATCGCAATCCCTTCCCTGGGACTGCAAAGCACAGAGCATCGTCCTTCCACTGTCCCAGCCTCACAGGAATACCGCGATGCTGCTACGATATAATTTGGAGAGAAATTGCATTGGAAATACAAGTCATATACAAACATGAGATTACTATGCGGCACTTGGCAGGAGGAGAAAAATCAACATTTTTTGAAGCTCCTTGCTGAAATATATCACTCCTTCTCGCCGACCCTGGGTGTGGAGCACAATTTAGACGAAACCTTCTAACTGAAGTAATTAACTAGACGCTTTTCAAGAGATTTAAATAGCGAGTGACTCCTGAACTTCCCAGAATATTTGGACCTGCAATCTGAAAAGCGACTGCTTTGATATGGATGATTTTATTTTTCTCAAAGAAATCACTCAAGGGAGAGTTTTTCAAATACACAACTATTTTTTCTCCCTCCTAATCAAAACCATGTGGGGAAATGCATCAGGGGCAGGTGCTTTGAATAGCAGCGGGAGGGAAACAAGACGCTATTACCGCGTCCAGGGCCTTCCGGGTCTTCCCCAACTGTCAGTGAACAAAGATGATGGACAAGGACTCAAGGTGAGGCTTCGGGACGCTCATTAACGGAGTGACTTCCCTTGAAAGTCGCCTGTCGCCACCCAGCTGCTGGAGACCACGAGGCGGCTCAGCTTCCCCTACCCAATTAGCCAATCCCAGAGGCTGCACCCCAGTGGTCCAAGCCAGGGCTCGCGCTCCCTTCAAGGAGAAAGCAGCGTCTTATAATTGTTTGTTTGGTGAGCACCGCCAGGCTGGCTGCAGCCCCACGCAAGCCCAAGCCCCTGCCTTGTCCCTGCCAAGAGAGGGCTGGGAGGCCTCCGGGGTGTGCAATTACCTTTCCCCGTCCTCTCTCATTAAAAAGGGCCCTGCACGGGGCGTGGTGTGCGGTGGGCACACAGGTCACACTGGGATAATACCATCCACCCATGCATCCCTCTACGCACTCATCCGTCCACTCACCCAGCCAGCCAGCCACCTACCTGTCCATCCATCCACCCTCTCGCCCACCTTCCCTTCCATCCACGCATCAATCCACCCGCCCACTTACTCATGTGGCACCTGTTGAGAACCAGGGTTTGTGCTAGGCCTTGGCATCTCAGACAGGTGAGTGAGGGACGATGGCGTTTTCTTTGTCCCTGGCAGCCTGCTCCCTCCTCTCTCCCCTCTAGTTAGGTCTTTCCGTGGGACCCCAACACAGGCACTTAGTGATTCCCTGGGGTAACAGGCTCTGGCTGTGGGCATCCATAGGCAGGGGCCAGCAGGGCGGGAGTGGGGCTGCTCTCCCGGGGACTTTTCTTGTGTCTTCTCCTGGGCCTGCCCCCAAGCCCCCCCCCCTTACTGTGCAGTCAGAGCAGGGGCTCAGCTTGCTAAGTCTGAGCAGCTGCAGGTCGGGAGCCACACGCTGGCCCTCCTTGCAGGGTGCCTTGTCTGAGGCTGGCTCTGCAGAGTCCCTCCCCCCGCTCAGTGGTGCTGGGGGGCCCAATAGAGGCACATACCTTGCTGCATCAGGGACCCCATTCCGAACCAGAAGCTGTTGAGTAGGGTGAAGTTATTTTCCACCACCTCGGAGCCAGGGTTGCAGGGGTGAGCGTCGTACCATTCGTAGGGGCTGAACCTGGCACAAGGAGGAGAGGGCCAGCGAGGTTGAGCTGCAGGGCAGGGGGGCAGGAGGGAAGGGGCGCCACGGAGACGGCGGGTGAGCAAGCAGAGAAGCCATTTCCTCATGGTGCTGCCGGGGAGGCAGGGAGGCATGGTGCTGCCGGGGAGGCACGCTTCTCCCTGTTCTTTCCCGTTAGTGCCCTTTGCTGGTGACCAAAGTAACTGCCAGCAGCTGACAATTAAAAGTGCATGCGCCCTGCAGTCTGCCCACTCCACAGCTTAGCTTCCGTCCCTAAGAAAACCCTCGCACAGGAGCATAAGGAAGAGCACGTGCAGATGTTTAGCAAAGCGTTTTTTGTCGTAGCAACAAACAAACAACAATGCTGCAAACCACCCAAATGCCCTTCGACAGAGGAGTGATTACACAAATGACCCCAGAGCCGCACTCTGAAATTACACGCGGCTGTTAAGAGAGAATGAGCGGCTTCTACGTGGGCCGGCGCAGAGCGGGCAGCAAGACGTATTGTTTGGTCAAAAACCAGTGAGAAGAAACAGGAAGTAGATGATCACATTTATACAAACAGAGCCCTGCAGACAGAACTACACAGCCCACTCTGTGTGTTCACATGGCAGCGTATGCTAGCGGGTCTGGGAGGATCCCCGCACTGAACAAGTACCAGGGGGCAGCTCCAGGGCGAGAGTCAAGGGCAGGAGGGACTTTGGGAAGCCTGTCGTTTTATATACACACAATAGACTCAGCGTCTTGTATCATTCTAAAACGCCAGGCCTGGAGAGTGTTCAGTGTAGCAATTAAGCCGTCAGCTGGGACACCCACATCCCATATTGGAGTGCCTCTGCTTCAAGTCCTGGCTCTGCTCTCAAATCCGCCTTCTCGCCAATGCACACCCTGGGAGGCAGCAGGTGCTGACCCAAATTCGTGGGCCCCTGCCACCCACATGGGAGACCTGGAGGAAGTTCCTGGCTCCTGGCTTTGGCTTGGCCCAGTCCCAGCTGTTGTGGGCCTATGGGGAATGAACCAGAGGATGGAAGACCTCTGTCCATCTCTCTCTCTGTCTTTCAAAGAAACACAATGCAAAATGATAAATAAACATGTAAAAATGGACAAGAGGAAAAGGTACTGTTGATGGAACAGCGCAGCAGCACTGAGGGGCAGGAACAGTGGAGGGACTCCAGCGTCTTGGAGGAAGCACTGGAGACGGAGACTTCGGGTTTTCTCTTTGACTGCATGGACGGGAGGAAGGAGAGCTGAAACTCTCCCTTGCCCTGCCTCCCAGGGACAAGGAGTCCTGACCGCTGGAGGGAATCTCTGCTTACCGACGGGGTCCCGGCTGGGGACATGCGAGTCGGAAGCTGGGGAGCCCCCGGCTGGCGCTGGGGTGGTGCTAGGAAGCCAAGGTGGCAGACCTGGCAGGGGACCGAATCCAGTGCAATTCTGCTTTGCCCTTTGAATCGCGATGTGGTGACGGCCCTTTCCCACCTCCCATCTACCAGCTTCCACACCCGGTGCATTGATCGGTTGTCATGAAATGGAAGATCCCTCAGACAGGAAGCTGCAAACCGAGGTGGAGATTTTCAGAGGAAATGACCATGCTAGAAGCTCTAGAGCCCACGAGGAAGAGCTCTCGGATTAAGAGGGCAGAGACGAGAAACTGCCTGAGAAGGGTACTGGACAAAACCTCTGTGGGCTGGGAGAAGGGCTTCCCGGGATGTGGGGGCTCTGGGTGTGTCCTGTAATGGAGCGCAGTGCCTGGCAAGTCTGGGGGCAGGAGTAGGTCGCTGTGCACCTGTGGGTGGAGGACAGCGAAACCTGCTGCTTGGCAAATGGAAAGCAGATCTGGTCCAGTGAACTTAGACTCCCACCCTGGAAGGGCAACAGGCTCCAACAGGTCTGGGCTGCTGCCGGCGTGGGGGCTGGGTGAGGAGTGGGTCGCCAAAGGAGGCGCTGCTGAAGGGGCCCAGCAGGAGGAAGGTGGGGTGGAGACGACCAGCGATTTCTGACGAGTTCGCAGGGGCCCTGCTGTTTTAGTATACCAGTTACACACAGCTGCGTGATATGTATGATGCGCTTTAATACAGAATACCATATTAGGGGCAGGCATCTGTCCTAGCAATAGGGGCAGGTGTTTGGCCCAGCAGTTAAGATGCTGATGGAGCAGCCTGTATCCCATCTTGCAGTACCCACTTCCTCCTGCGCCCGACTCCAGCTTCCTGCGAATGCAGACCGTGGGACGCAGCCGTGATGGCTCAAGTCATGGGTTCCCACCACTCGCCTGAGGGACATGGATGGAGTTCCTGGCTCCCAGCTTTGGCTCTGGCCCTGCTCTGGCCATTTGGAGAATGAGCCAGAGATGGAAGCTTTCTTCTCTGTCTCTGTCTCTCTCAAAAATACAACTTTAAAAAAATTACACCATTATACTGTTCTAGAACTTGACTTTTCATTGGATAGGTCATCAACTCCCTTCCAGATCAGTTCTTTTGCATCTGCCCTCTTCTCCATAGCCGCCCCCTGTGGTGGGCCCCTGCTCTGGCCCCTGTTCTCTACTTCTGTACGCTATTCTGTACACAGAAACACCTCTCTTTCCTATCCAGTGGATGACCTTGTCCTCTGGGGAAGGCTTTCTGGATATGGGAGAACTCTACAGTGTGGCTCAGGGGTGAGATTTCAACAGAGTGAATTCCCCGAGGTGCAGCTGCTGGCCATGATCAAACCATCAGGGTCTAGAATGGCCTCTAGGCTGGGCTCCTCACCACCTGCTCCAAGACTGATGAAGGGGAAGACCCTACAGTCAGAGAGTGGGAGGGGTGGGTGGTTGCTGGACAGGAAGTTCATGGTGGATCTTGGATTTGTAGCTTGGGGCTGCAAAGGGTCCTTTGGAGTTGGGAGTAAATCGGACTTGGAAGTCAAGCTGGAGACCCTCTGCCTTCACTGGGGGAGAGCACCTCACTCCCGCAGGCAGGGCACTGACCGTGCTTGTGACCTTCTCTGTCCTGAGACTCGCAAGTGCACTGGGTTTGGCTGGAATGCACCTCCCAGGGCCTGGACTGGCAGCTTGTCCCGAGCCCTGTCTCCTGGCCAGGCACTCAAGATTACCCGTCCCTTCCATGAGAGCCAGTGGCCTTGCTCTCTGGGGAGAGAAAGTGCCTCTACTCCCTGTCTCCTCCAACCTTGCCAGGTACAACATCTTGGCAGCAAGGTAGGGCCTTGTTCAATGCCTGTGCCCCAGTGTTGGGCAGGCCAGGCTAGCGAGTGAGATAGGTGGTCTTGTCCCACACCAGAGCTGCTCGGAGTGGGCCTGGGACCTGCCCAGCCTTTGCAGACCCCTGCTCTTGGGGCGTGGGCAGCTGTGTCTAATCTTCAGCAGTCACCTGTGTTTGCCACCCCTGATGTACAGATGGACATGGCTGGGTGGGAAGCCTGACTTGCCAAGGCAAAGCTTTCTGATGCCGGGCAGATGCCTCAGTGTCTGCATCTGTAAAGTGGGGATGACTCCAGCCACCGCTCAGGACTGCTGTAAGAATTCTCAGGAGTCACATGTAGGTGCGGAACAAGGTGACAACTGTATCATGGAGTTCTTTCCATCGAGAAGCTTGGACCCTTGCTCCTTTTCTCTCTCTTTAGGGGTCCCGTGTCATTCCAGAAGCTCTGGGCACCCCCTCTTCCAGAAAGTCTCCCAAGCTGATCTTGGGAGGGGGCTCCGACCTTCCCAGACAGGGAGGACAAGAGGAAGGCAGGGAACTGGAGGGGGCAGGGGCATATTGCAAGGGAGAGCCGGGGCCCGGGGGGTGGGGAGCTGAGAGGCCAGACAGGGCTGCTACAATTGTGGCGAGGGCTCTGGAGAGTGGCTCCTGGCTTTCAAAGGCTTGTTAGACAATTAGAGACCAGAGGCGGAGTGGAGGCCTCTCTGCGGCTGGCGGGGCTGCCAGCGGGGACGACCAGGCAGGGCAGGGCAGCCACGACAGCGCCCGGCCGGTCTGCAGCAAAGAGCTTTGGAGGCAGGACAATTTCATGGCTCACTTCTTTCCCTTTGGTCTCCCTCTGCACGGGAGGAGGGAGCGAACAGGAGCAGAGCGGGAGAAAGGCTTTCAAGGCAGGCTCCGGAGAAGGGAAGACGGATACGCGGAGTCCTTGGATCTCAAATTGCCTCTCCAGAGAAGTCTCCCCTTGCACCTTGTTAGGATTTAAAGAACAAAGGAGCCTGGGCATGGCTGGGGCTGGAGCCTGGAGGGAGGAGGGAGGGGGAGTTGGGCTGAGGAGCTGCTGAGGTGGGGGCAGGGACAGACCATAGGCCAGAAGGGCATCCCCCAAGTCTAAATGCCGGCTGTGTCACTGACTGCTTGTACGACCATGGGAAGTACAAGGTACTCCAACAAGTTCATGGACAATGGAATAAAAAGGTAAGTTTACTTTGTTGCAAAACAAAATTTGAAGTCCAGGTGTAGCATTTTTATAATTCCATTTTCCACAAGCTTTTTGAAGAGCTTCAAATGAAGACTTTCTGAGCCCCACCTGCTCTTCCAGAAATGCTGTGAGAGTTAAATAAGAGAGTGGCTGTGGGGTGCAGAGCAAGGTGTTTGGCAAACAGTAGGTGCTCACTAAACACTCCTAAACCCGTCCCCCAACATTCTCCTCCTACCCCCGCCAGTTATATGTTTCATGGGAGCAACCCAATGTGTAAGCATGATGCTAGCATGTATCCCAGACAGCCAAGTATACATGCGTGCCATGTTTCTGCAGGCGAGCATGCTTCCAGGGCACTGCTTCCTTGCTGTTCTGGATTAGATCAACACAGGCCACTTCCCGAGTCTGGAGATTCCCACAGGGCCACAGGATGTGCATGTGGGTCTCCTGTGCCATGTGCTTGGCCCGGGTGGCACAGCTGGGGGTAATGATTTCACCTCTCCAAGCCTACTCCCAGGACTCGGGGTGCACCTGCCCCACCTCACAGGCATGGACACAGGCCAGAATGAGACTGAGTGCTTCCAGCCCAGGGCCACAGAATGTTCCCAGAGGGCCAGGAAAGGGTCTGGGCCATGGGACAGGAGAGAGCAGCAGGTGCAGCGGTGGCAGGTCTGAGGATGTGGGAACTTGCCTAGCTTCCCAGCCGAGATGTTGCCTTACCTGGCGATGACAAAGAGGACACAGCTGACACCCAGATAGGCGAGGAGCACGTACATCCAGATGTCTGGGGACAGGGGATTGAGGAAGGAGAAGACACTGGGGTTGGTGCCATTGGGCTTGCGATAGAGGATGCTCACGCCGAGCGTCATGAAGGGCTTGGAGAAGTCGATGGCTTTCTCCCGGACATGGGTGATGGTCAGGGGGGCCACGGCCAGATCTGCCTTCTGCAATGGGTGAGACAGAGAGAGAGAGAGAGAGAGAGAGACAGACAGACAGACAATGAGCAAAGCCTACGACCAGCAGCGGACTGCGCAGCCCCTCTTGGAGCAGAGGAGAGAGGGAGTGAGGCTGAGTCAGCTGCCTGAGCCCAGCCTGAGCCGCTCACTCTTCAGTTCCAACATTTACTAACTCTCCTTCGACTCTAGGCCAAGCCCCAGGAGCAACTTTTGGTCTCCGGGAGTTCCTGGCCCCAAAGTAAAAGACAGGAGCATAAAGACGCAGGGGATGGGATCCTATGACAGCTACAACCCACGAGGCCCCACCTCAACACACTGCTTTGTCACATAAATGCAGTCCGGCAATCTACTGGCATTTAGAGCATCTCCTGTGACTTCTGTCCTTCAAAAACCGCAAACAAGAAAGAATCCACAATAAGCCTTCTTTACACCTGCCTCCGTCTCCCAGCCCTTCGTGCCTGCCGCAGCCCACCCTGGATGGATATGTAGGGGCTGCAAAGCATCCGTGGAAAATGCGTACTACGCAAACCACAGGCACAGATTCCAAAAACACTTAGCACCAAAATGAAGTTAGTGTTTCTTCTGCATTTTTGTTTGAGAGGTAGACAGAGAGACTCTGTGTGTGTGTGTGTGTGTGTGTGTGTGTGAGAGAGAGAGAGAGAGAGAGAAATATCTGTTGGTTTATTCCCCAATGCTCATGCAACAGTCCTCACTGGGTGGGGCCGAAGCCAGAAGCTGGGAACTCAACCCAGGTCTCTTGTGTGGGTGGCAGGAACCCGATTACTTGACCCATCGCTGCCGCCTCCCAGGGTCTGAACCAGCAGGGAGCTGAAGTCAGCAGCAGAGCCAGGTACTGCAGCCAGGCACTCAGACATGGGAGGCCTGACCGGCAGCTTCACCGTTAGGCTGAATGTCTTCCCCAGACATCTTTTAATTCCATTTTCTGGGGCCAGCACTGTGGCGTAGCAGGTAAAGCCACTGCCTGCAGTGCCAGCATCCCATATGGGTGCCGGTTCAAATCCTGGCTGCTCCACTTCCGATCCAGCTCTGCTATGGCCAGGGAAAGCAGTAGAAGATGGCCCAAGTCCTTGGGCCCCTGCGCCCATGTAGGAGACCCGAAGAAGCTCCTGGCTCCTGGGTTCAGATCGGCGTGACTCTGGCCATTGTGGCCATCTGGGGAGTGAACCAACGGATAGAATATTTCTCTCTCTCTCTGTCTCTCTCTCTCTCTCTCTCTGCCTCTGCTTCTCTGTAACTCTGCCTTTCAAATAAATAAATCAATCTTAAAAAAATAAGTCCACTTTCCAAGGACTTCTTGCAGGCCACCTATATATCCTAAAAGCCCCTCTAAGAGCATCTGGACATTGAGAATACCCTCACTGATTGGAGGGTAAAGGTGGAAGAGAAACCAAACAGGTAAATTCAGGGCCCTTGTCAATGGGGAGTGACGTGCAGGCCAGGAAAGTGGTGAAAACTGTCCCAATCAAGATGGAACCCTTTCTGCCAACCCCAACAACAATAAATATGGCCCAGAGGTTAAGAAGGAAGGGTCCTTACACACAATGGCCTGGTGGGTACCACTGCCAAAGACCACCAGCACCACAAGTCTGCAGAGTGGAGGCTGCAACCTTACATGGAAAGAACTTCTGCGAGGACACCTGCGGAGCAACTGGCCAGCGTCTCTATCACCAGAAATCACCGTGTCAAAGCATCGTGCGCAACCCCCTTGGTTTCGGCTCTAGGAGCTTCCCTGGCCCTCAATGCGCTTGCCCACTCCCGTGGTTTAGCACAGCATGTGTGTTCCTGGGGCAACACTCCCCTGTTCCCATCACCCTCAAGCCCTAAGCAAATACTATAATTCTTTGGAGACTCTGAGTTCTTCCAGATTGATTATGTTCAGATGTTAATAAATTTCAGCCTATTGCAACTTTAATGAGGGAGTCATTAGGGTCCCCCCCCCCCTTTGGTCTGAGCTTCCTCCTTCTCATCCCGTCTTCCCAGCCTCCCCTCATGGCTGTGCTCCCACAGGGGGCTCTGTTCCACTGCTCCGCTTCCTGCAGCCCCTTCTGCGTGGCTCAGCCTTGGCGCACCAGGGCCCTGTTCAGAGGGCACAGTGCCTACCACGGGGTCTGAGTTCCTTTGCAGGTGCTGCCTCTTCCAGAAGCCCTCCGGACAGCCTCTGCTATGGCTTGGATATGGGTAGCACGCCCTCAAAGCTCCCGGTGCTGGGAACTTGCGCTCCAGGGTGCTGTGTTTGGTGGGGACTACTGAAAGGCCTCCGTGGGGGTGCTCTCAGGAGGTAACCCCTGGGGTCTTGTACGAGGGTTGTTGTAGCAGGAGCAGGCCTGGCCCACCATCGCTGCCCCTTGTTTGAGATGTGACCACTGGCTCCTACATATGTTCCTGCTGGGATGTGCCATCATCTACCGCCCCTTCAAAGCCTGAAAAAGTTGCCCCTCCCCATCCCCTGCCTCCTGACCTTGGACTTTGAACTTCCAAATCCTGAGCTAAACAAACCTCTTTTCAAAAGCAGCTTGTCTCCGACTCTTCATTACAGTGATGAAAAGCCGACTAATATAGCCTCTGATGCTGAACTCCCCTGAGGCCTGCTCCGGCCCACGGTGTGGCCTTGACCTGCTTAATTTGAGTGGCAGTCTGCGTCCCATGTGGCTTTGTGTCTCATCTGCTTATTTGCCTATGAATTCCTGAGTGCAGCTGGGGTTGTGGCTGATTTACTTCGGCTTTCTCCATTCCTAAGCCCCTCCTTGGCCTCTGGAATATTGCAAAGGCAGCCCCCTGGGATCCTGTGGCTCGTCACCCTGCAGAGTGGGGACCGGGTTATCACTTCCCCTCCTCAGGTGCAACAGGCCAGAAGGCATCTGGGTGGGAGAGGCCAGCACGGAAGACCTTCGCCAGGGCAGCCTCTACCTCTGAAACTCTCCCAAGGCTATGCGTCTAGGCAGCCACCCACTGGCTTGGAGCAGCCCCATCCATCTGTCTGTCCATCCACCCATCATCCACCCATCCATTGTTTTATGAGATCCAAACATATGTGGCTACTTCCTTCACAGAGGAGATGGACATTAATCAAACTGCTTACTAAACGGTAGCTGTTAACATCAGCTCTGACTTCATTTACGACAGGAACTAGGGATCCAGTTCAAACCCAGCGTTGAGGAGTGAAGTACCCGAAAGGGTGGACTCCTCGCTTCCTTGCAGCTCTGCAGGCTGGGGGAGCTGGGAAACATACAAGTCTCACGTTGCCCACCCAGCGTTTCCCACACCCCACCCATCATGGACACCTGCAGCCCAAAGACTTGGTGAACTTCAGAACCTGGGAAGACAGGGAGAAGCTGACGGCACGGGGTTATTACACGGGGACCTTCCTTCTGGGGATCCCTTCTGGATGTGTGAGTTGGAACTTTCCAGCTTTGGGGACAGAAGGGGCGACTGCTGCCGCCACAGCTCTTGCAGCCCTTGGTTTCAGGGGGTGTATGCCAGGGGAAGCACCGGAAGGAGACGGAACCACCAGGGAAGTGCAGAGTGCTGGACGTCTATGTGCTCAAGTCCCGCTGGACAACCAGCCCAGGCCCAGCGGCACAGCCCTGGGACACAGCTGGAAGCAAGGGACCTGGCGCCTGCCCTCACCGAGCTTCCAGTCGAGTGACTCCTGTTGGGGGCAGGGTGGGAGCCCAGGTAGACACCCAGGAAGGCCACTTCAGCTCTGAGGCTCCAGGACCCTCCCTACTGTTGATGTGACGGGGGTGTCATGGGCATTGATTCTAGAACCCTGCCCCTTCAAAGTGCATCACATGGGAGGCTCTGTGCTGCCGCTCAGGTCGCTGTCCTTGCCCGGAGCGCATTGGGGATGCGTCTCTGGGAACAGCGTCCGGGGCTTGCAGGGGATTCCTGGGCAGAACCTTAGTCAGGCAGTGGCACGGCGTCTCCACTCGACGTTATGGCCGCAGGATCCAGGTGTTCACAGCCAATGCTTCTTCTGCCCGAATGTTCCAGGGGCTGGTGAGGAAGCCATGGGCACTCTGTCTTCTTCCTCCAGGCCCCTGTTGGAGCTTTTGGAGTCTCCCTGCTGTGTTTTCTGCTCTCGGGCTCCAGCGGGGTTGGGAGGCAGAGGCGCCCAGTACACTCTGTGTCTCCAGCGGCCAGGCACCTGGCCAGCGCGACCTTGACGGAGCGTTCCCATCGTGCCCTCCCTCGGGCTTCGGGAAGGCTGGAGTTTTCCACTTCATTTTTGGTTCAGGCAGGAAATACTACAGTTCACCAGTGGTAACAATTTCCCTGAAAAAGGCATTATTTTGTCCAAGTTGCCTTGAAAGATGGGGACAGATGTCAAGCCTTTGCTGTTTCAGTTCATTATTCAGAATGGAGGGCCCCATCCTGGCAGCGCTGCCCACTTGAGCGAGGATGATTCACACAATCACAGGCTGTTGGAGCTGGCGTGGGGGTGGGGGCCTCTGGGAACACACTCCAACCTCGTCTATTTTATATAGAGAGAGGGAAACTGAGGCTCGGACAGACTCCTTGGTCTTTGCTTTTGTATCTATGGTGGTTGGACAGAACCAAGCCACTGACCTGTCCAACACTTCCAGGGGTCTTGTGGGTGACTGTTGGCCCCTCCTGCATCACTAAGGAACCTTCTAGAACTCTGGGCAGCATGGGCTTCCCAGGACGTTACTTCATCCCTGCAAGTACCTTTCCACTCGGGACGAGCCTGACTCCACCTCCTTTCACGCTCTTCCGACCTTTTAGGCCTTTTGGTCATCACGTTCCCAGCCCGAATAGAAGGCAAGAATGACGTAACCAGCTCTGGCTTCGTATCTTGTCCCTTATCATCCGGCCATCCCGGCAGTTGGATGGACTTTAGCCTGGTACCCCAGTGTGAAGCCCATGCATGCTAAGAATGACCCCAGCCACGGTCCCTTGACGCTGCTCGGCCCTCTCAAGACAGAAGCCGCCCCTGGGCACTAAGA